TAAGTGTCTCAAATCTTCAACTTGTCGTTTTTCAAACCATTCATCACAACTGTCAGACACGGCAGCATCATGGGGTCTTGTTACAAAGAATTCTTCAACACTTGTTCAACCTTTGGACGAAGACCTACTTCGACTAGTGGATGGTACCACTATGACCCCGCCTCCATCTGCTTCACGTCACCTCACTACAGTATATAAGCCACGTCTACGGCCCTATGCTGTACATTCTACAAGATTGATGGACTGAACACATCGACTCCAGGTTGAGGGACTGATTACCTCATTCTCCTCCTCTCCTTACGCCTTCCTCTTTGTATTGGACTGATGAAGCCACTGTGTGGCGAAACGTTTCCTGAATAAAGATTCCCATATGCTGCATAAGTGTCTCAAATCTTCAACTTGTCGGTTTTTCAAACCATTCATCACAAGTTTATTGTTGGAGAATATGACACTAATATCAACTCTACGGCTTATTTATCTATCACAATTCAACTAATATGATATAATAAACAATATTAATAACATAGAAATATGGAATATACTCTAGAATGAATAAAATAAGTCATTACGTATGTCACAAGAGGTGTTGTGTTGTGTTGTTGTTGGGTAAATAAGGGCCACTGAGAGTAAGCCGTCCATAATGGTGGTGAAGCAGCAGCTGAGGCGGTGGTGTTTTCTGTAGCCCTATATAACTCCAACAACATTAGAGGAGTTGGTAGAATCGCTGAATCACTAAAGAAGGAACCCTCTACCACCATCACTACGACTTTCTACCACTATTACAACTGTTACCACCATCACTACTACCTTCTACCACCATCAACCACTATCACAACTGCTTCCACTCTACCACCACCACCTTTGTATTTTTCTACAAACTTTTTCATAAATTATATGTGTTTTTCACATTCTTTACCAAAGGGCTGGCACTAGAAGCTTTCTTTGGAGCCAAGGTAGCTTATTTAGCACTTGCAAGCACTAAATCAATGGAATACAGTGGACCCCCGGTTAACGATGTTTTTTCATTCCAGAAGTATGTTCAGGTGCCAGTACTGACCGAATTTGTTCCCATAAGGAATATTGTGAAGTAGATTAGTCCATTTCAGACCCCCAAACATACACGTACAAACGCACTTACATAAATACACTTACATAATTGGTCGCATTGGAAGGTGATCGTTAAGCGGGGGTCCACTGTATTATGAAATATTTCGTAGAAGCAAGTGAGGGGACCATCACTCACTGGTAAACAATGGCACACTGGCTGGGAAGACAGGCCCAGGAGGCTCAGAGTGTGAGTATGCATCCCAGACACAGGACAATTAGCGAGTTAATGGACCATTTGCGAGCCAATGTTTAGACGAAATAATGGGACTATATTTCTGAAATGGACGACTTTCAGGCCGGACTATTATTGAGGGACCACTGTACTGTACCAACAAACAATTTTATGGGTGCTTAAATTCACTTGGGCCCTTAACCCCTTCAGGGTCCAAGGCCCAAATCTGAAGTGGTGCCCCAGTGTCCAAGAATTTTCAAAAAAAAATTTTTTTGATTTTTTCTTATAAAATAGTAGAGAATCTTTTTGTGAAGGTAATAAAACAAAAAGTATGAAATTTAATGGAAAATTGACGAAATTATGCTCTCGCGAATTTTGATGTGTCAGCGATATTTACGAATCGGCGATTTTGCCGACTTTGACTCCCATTTTAGGCCAATTACATTATTCCAGTCAACCAAATTCTTAGCTATTTCACTAGTATTACTTCTGTTCTATCGATTGAGCACAAGAAATCGCCAAGTCAACTGTTTAAACTACAAATTAAAGTGATCGGAAATTGTTAATTTGGCCAATTTAACACAAAGTTCAAAATATTCCAATTTCAAAATAGGGTCCAGAATAAACAATGTAGGTATTCCTGGAACTAAACTAACATTTCCTCTGTTCATTAGTTACATTTTGAGGCTTTACAAATAAATTCCATTTTGATTTTTTATTCACATAATGAATTTTTATTCACACCAAAAAATAGAAGATTTACTGTTATGCAATACTGTAATAATTGTATAAATATCATCACCATATTTGTGAATGCATATTAGACCCTTCAGCTGGCGTGTATTAGACGTGTGAGGTCGTTTGTTTACTCTTGAATATCGGCAAAAATTTAACATTTCTGCTACTTTGAGCTAAGTTTCAAGTCATTTCCATTGCTAAAACCAATCAAAATCATCTCTATTTCTGTAATATGTCTTCCATTCTATCAAATGAGACCAAGAAATCGTAAATACAACTATAAAAAACATACAAAAAAACACTGCAAAGTCGCTGTTTTAATCGAAAAATCATGATTTCAGTTTTTTCTCTCATTATACACAGTGTGCTGCAGGATCTGTTTTATGTGGTGCACACATACCACATAGATGTATTCTCTCATATCTAGGCCCAAATGTGCCACTCACAGTTTATCAGAGTGAGCTGAGCTCATGACGTAGATCTACGGTTTGGACCCTGAACGTAAAGCCGTAGATCTACGGGACGGACCCTGAAAGGGTTAATCACTCTACGTGACTTTCCAAAGAATGTGGATTAATTTTAACCCTTAAACGGTCCAAACAGATCAATGTTCAAATTCGTAGTGCTACAAAAGTAGATCTACTTTTTTTTACATATTTTCAAATATAAAAAGAAAAGTAGATAAAAGTTTTTTTATGCGTTTTCAAATGTAAAACAAAAAAGATTACATTTTTTTACAAACTTTCAGATGTTGAAAAAATGTATATATACGTTTGGACCGTTTAAGGGTTAAGAGAGCAAAAAGTGATACTAAACCAGGACTGAAGATACATTTTCATTATGCACATGGTGGCATGGAATCCAAAAGGAGGTGATATGTGCTGCAACCACTGGAAAATTTTAACTAAGTGTTGCACATTACAACCTAAAAATTGTAAGCAAACCAAAATGAGCATAGCTCTGCTTCTGTAACTACAAAAAGGTATTCACAAATAGGTAATCTATCCTAATATAGGTGTAACTCACTTTATGAAATAGATGCATTCCAGATTCATGGCACATAACGGAAAACTGCATAAAGTGTAATCACATAAGGCAAACCCAATTGAACTTGTCAGACACAGAGATACATTCCAAGACCTTACGAATTCCAAATTTTTTTTACTTATGTTTACCAGGAAAAGTTTATCATACATACACCAGTCATATATAATAATAAAATGAATTTGGTCAAAAACAACTGAGTAAAGCATGCATTAATAATCCTTATACAATGATCACAGAGCCAGAACTTGGGGAAAAATCCACATTTTTTTTTTAACATGTCGTCCATCTCCCACCAAGGCAGGGTGACCCAAAAAGAAAGAAAAATCCAAAAAGAAACAAAAACTTTCATCATCATCCAACACTTTCACCATAACTCATACATAATCACTGTCTTTGCAGAGGTGCCCAGATACAACAGTTCAGATGTCCCTGCAAACTGCCAATATCCCAAAACCCCTCCTTTAAACTGCAGGCATTGTACTTCCCATTTCCCTTCACAAAATACAGTGGATCCCCGGTTAACGATATTTTTTCATTCCAGAAGTATGTTCAGGTGCCAGTACTGACCGAATTTGTTCCCATAAGGAATATTGTGAAGTAGATTAGTCCATTTCAGACCCCCAAACATACACGTACAAACGCACTTACATAAATACACTTACATAATTGGTCGCATTGGAAGGTGATCGTTAAGCGGGGGTCCACTGTATTACCCTGCTCACACTCTAACAACTCGTCAGGTCCCATTCGCTTCTATCTAACACGCTCATGCATGCTTGCTGGAAGTCCAAGCCCCTCACCCATAAAACCTGTTTTACCGCCTCCCTCCAACCTTTTCGGGGACAACCCCTACCCCACCTTCCTTCCCCAATAGATTTATATGCTCTTCAAGCCATTGTGCTTTGTTCCATTCTCCCTCAATGACCAAACCACCTTAACAGCCCCTCTTCAGCCCTCTGACTAATACTTTTAGTAACTCCACACCTCCTCCTAATTTCCACACTACAAATTCTCTGTGTAATAGTACTTACACTACACACTGCCCTTAGACACGACATCTCCACTGCCTCCAGCTGCCTCCTTGCTGCAGCATTTACAATCCATGCTTCATGCCCATATAAAAGTGTTGGTACCACTATACTCTCATACATTCCCTTCTTTACCTCAACGGATAACTATTTTTATCTCCACAGATACCTCAATGCACCACTCACCTTTTTTCCTTCATCAATTCTATGGTTAACCTCATCCTTCATAAATCCATCCACCGACAAATCAACTCCCAAATATCTGAAAACATTCACTTCTTCCATACTCCCTCTCTCCAATGTGATACCCAATTTTTCTTTATCTAAATCATTTGATACTCTCATTACCTTACTCTTATCTATGTTCGCTTCCAACTTTCTACCTTTATTTTTACTAAAACAAGAGAGTATGCCACACAGACACCAAACAGCCATTAAAAAAAAAAAATCGGGTAAAAAACTAAGGAAAATTAAATAAATTATTCAATCATAATCTTCCTCTCTTTTTACTCCCCTTCCTTCCTCCACCATCAACCAACCAACCTTGGTCTGTGTTGAAGCACATCTCATGAACCTGTGAATACATATCTCCCTACCTCTTTTCTTTCTACTGACTTGGCACCAGACAAACTGAAGACAAACCACAGAATTTTCTTCAAAATATACTTATTGTATTTCCCACACCCAAATTTGTTTTCTTCTCTTATTTATTACGTTAATATAAACCAGTTTAGAACAATATTATAAAAAATATACATAGTTGAAACACAGAAGACGGAGTTGTGTGTTTGCAGAAGATTGAATTTACATTGTACTTGTATAAGAAATTACTGGTGAAAATGAGGGCATCACCTAAGAGAGTTTATTAGAGTATGCAGTATAAAAACAGCTGAATATTTTTAACTAACCTCTTTCCTTTTTAACTGATTCACTTCTTATACTAGGTGGCAAAGGAGGCCCATAGGCTTCGCTGTCACTATCAGATGTACTCATCTTGAGTTGTTCTTTCACAGCTGAAAGTAAAGTAAAATTCAAAGATATTGTATTACCCTTCAAAAATCACCTTTGAATTTTCTACTTTTCAATTTTCTTTTAAATACAGTGGACCCTCGAGTATCGGCCGTAATCCATTCCAGAAGGCCAGCCTAAAACCAAAATAATATTTCCCATAAGAATTAATGTAAATGCAATTAATCCGTTCCAGATACCCAAAAGCATTAACAAAAATTACATTTTTTAAAGGTTAATTATACTTTTACATACACAAAGCAATGAGAACTAAATAAATAAATGAACATTTAAATCACTATTACATACCTTTATTGAAAACTCTTGTTGGTTTATGGAAGACAGGGAGGAGAGAGGGATGTTACAAAAAACGCGATTCTAAAAGCTTAGAGATCTCTAGTGAATACTAGAAAGGACTGCCCTTCTAGCATCCAGCCTGTTACTGGGTTTTCGTAACAATTAGTCAGTATCCTTGTCCAATTATCCATTAGAATTCAGTATGATTCAATAGTGCTTCAGGATTACAACTAACTAGAGAAAATAAAATTTAATAAATTTATTATTTAAGTTGTCTAGGTGTATATCAAATTAAATTAAATTAATAATAATCAAAATAATAATAATCACTTCTCTCGAGTACAGTATTATTGTGCTGAAAGCACATATCGCATTTATAATTCTTAAGTACCGTCTGGTACATTAACATTTAATAAGATATTACAAATATGTACAAGTAAGTGTGTATGTGTGTAAGTGCTCTAAGTAGTTCGCTATGTCTCACGACTCGACTAGACTTAAACAAGTGACTGACAAAGTCCTAAAATAAACTAACTTCTTGACCAAATGGCAATCAGAACAGTCTGCTTGAACAACAAAAAGAATGCTAAGCCCAATAGCAATATAACAAGCAAAAGTGACACAGAATCAGGAACTAGGAGATAATATAACGACACTAAGTAGGGACCATCTGCAGATCCTCCACAAAAGTCACAAAACTCCCATACTACTGAATCTAAGTTCAGCATAAGAAAATCCCCGACTGTGATAATACACAGATACCAGTACAAATTAGGTCAGAAGCTACAGCTCAGGACCTGAGTTGTTTCGAGTGTCTATGAGACACACAACCTCAGTACAACGTCGAAAATCACTAAGCCTATACAATGTTCTGTGAACAGAGTCTCACAGAACTAACAATAATGAGACAAGAGATGGTCTTCCAACAAGGGCCTATAAGGGAGATTTAGGCACTTTGTCTGGAATACGTCCAACCACCCAGCGAGTCTAGACCAGACTGAATACTTCAGGCGAGGTGAGGACCCCCCCCCCCTCGATCACGTGATAGCTCCGTGGACAGCTGTAGCACAAACAGAAGCCGGCAGGGAAACGAGCAAAGAGCGATAATTACAGTAGTTAGACAATCAAGACTTGAACTGAGCACATATGTTACATCCTACCTAACAAAAGGAAGCTAAGTCAAATAATATAAAGCAATACATTTACGATTTAGCTATTATCGCAAATATAAGCAATATAAAATTATATGAAAAGGTAATAATTATATATATACATATTAATCATTGCAACCCATTCAGGGGTTGCAACACCCCTCCAACACTACAAACGGTCGCACTAGGAGTTGCATTAATGTCTTTCACATTACTGATTACTCAGGTTACATTACTAACAATATAATATAAACATTAATCAGAGTCACTCTTGTGCCAAGCACCTCTATAATTTCACAGCGTCTATACAATAAGATATGCCCCTAATACTAGGGCAGTACACAGTATCGTATCTCTGCATACTCGTGGTTATGTACATCAGTGTAGAGACAGGATAGTATAGACAAGGAGGGCACGTTGAAGCTCGATCATAGTAGTGTAGACAGCATAATAGTCTTGTGCTATAGACAGGAGACAGCATTCCACTCTTAAGTAGTGGTTGTGAAATGCTATGCAGTATGGACATCTGAGTATTAAACAGCTTAAGGTGTGTAGTGAAGGGGGGGGGTCTGCGGCAGGACAGTGTTCCGTCACGCAGTACATCGCCCACACCACACTACCCACTCAACACTCAGCTTGTCTCCTCACACACATCATTACTGTGAATATATAAATATAATAATTAGACATGAGTATACATAGTTAATATGGGCTGGAGGGATTAAGTTACTCTACTGAATTTGACATAGCAAGTAACAAAAGGTATTTGGGCATAAAATTACGTAAATTTTAAATGGGGAAGTGCCCAAATACATGTCAAAATGTTCCAAGGACACCACAAGAGCTAGAGCCTCTTTCTCAATAGTGGCATAATTTTTCTGGTGTCGTTTGAGCTTAGATGAATAGTAACATATAGGATGGAGAATATCAGTGGATGTTGACTGTTGGAGCAGCACAACACCCACTGCATAACCACTCGCATCTATATGTAAAAAGAAGGGAAGATTGAAATTAGGACTCAACACTGGAGCAGAGGAAAGCAGATGCTTCAACCTTTTGAACGAGTCTGAACAATCTCTAGTCCAGATGAACTGAACTTTGCTACTAATGAACACAGTGAGAGGTGTAGGTGGAGGTGTGTGTGCTGGCTTGCCTGTCACTTGACACACGAGACAACGTCGCACATGATCAGCTACTGTTTCCTTCATCTTTGGCCAAGTAAAATGTTTTGCCAGTTTACCGAGTGTCTTCTTGACACCCAAATGTCCTCCAATGGGACTATTGTGAGCAAAATCAATGGCTTGTTCACGAAATGTAACTAGTAACACTACGAGATGCTTGACTGTGGTGGAAACACTATCAGCTGACAACTTACATGTATTTTTCTCCATCAGTACACCGTTACTATAGTAGTAACAATTATCGAGATCCTTTGCTTCACTCTCAGTCTTTCCAGTGACTGATCAACAAACTGATCCTTGATTAAATCATCATGAGTTAGAAATTTAACATCAGGTGTGTCCTGACTAGGTTGATGACAGGGGGGAGTTGGTGTTAATGATCCGGGGCGCAGAGCATCACTAAACAACATATTCAAGCCCAAATCATTGTCATCCACTAACTCAACAGGAGACAAGGATGGTTGTTGAATCCTTGACATAGCTCTAGTAATTGCGCTGAGAGAAAAAAAAAAAAGGCTTCTCTCTACAAGCTTCAATGGCATAATTATCATCAGTGTTATTATCAATCACAAGTGGTTCTTTACATATACCAGCATGAAGGATATCGTTCCCTATCAACAAGTCTACTGACCTGATGGGAAATACACCACTGGATATACCCACTGAAATATAACCAGTATAATAGCTTGTTTGAATATAAACTTTGTGCAGAGGTACTTTTATAACAGCCCCACCATAGGCTTCTAACTTAAGGCATCTAAAATGGAGGAATATAGCAAATAATATTGTTGCAGTAATAACACCAGGAGGCAGCTCTGATGAAAACTCACACTCACACGAGCTTTTAAATCTCTGCACAAAATTCAATTTAAACCAGCAAATAATAGAGCCTACTAGACTGGAGAATACACTAGACCTCATCTTCACTAACAATGATGATCTGATGAGAAATGTCACCATATCAAAAACAATATACTCAGATCACAACATAATTGAGGTTCAGACATGTATGCGTGGAGCCCCAGACCGACATAATGAGATTAGTCACGAGGGAGCATTCACCAAATTCAACTTCAATAACAAAAACATAAAGTGGGACCAAGTAAACCAAGTCCTAACCGATATAAGCTGGGAAGATATACTAAGCAACACAGACCCCAACTTATGCCTAGAACAGATTAACTTGGTGGCACTCGATGTATGCACAAGGCTTATTCCTCTAAGAAAAAGGAGGAGTAATGTAAAATAGAAAGAGACAGGTGCTCCCTTTACAGGCGACTGAAAAGAATAACAGAGCGGCTAAAAGAGGTCAATATATCTGAAATGCGTAGGGAGACACTGGTCAGAGAAATAGCAAGCATCGAACTTAAGCTAAAGGAATCTTATAGGCGTCAGGAATCGCGGGAAGAACTAAAAGCCGTAAATGAAATCGAAAGAAACCCAAAGTATTTCTTCTCCTATGCCAAATCAAAGTCAAGAACAACGTTCAGTATTGGGCCCCTACTTAACCCTTTGACTGTTTCAGGCCCCTCTCTGAAACTCATTCTATGTCGCTCAATTTTTGAAAAAAAAAAAAATTATTTTTTCTTATGAAATGATAGAGAATCTTTTCCCGATGGTAATGACACCAAAAGTTCGAAATTTGGTCGAAAACTCGTGGAATTATGCTCCCGCAAAGTTAGCGGTTTCTGCGACATATGCATATCGGCGATTTCGCCGACTTTGAGCCCTATTTTCAGCCAATTCCATTGTTCCAGTTGACCAAACTCATAGCTATTTCTTTAGAACTCCATTTTATCTATCAGATGAGTAAAAGAAACCTCCCATTTACTAATTTGGACTACCCAATATGGTGGTCAGAAATTGGCAATTTGGCCAATTTCACGCAAACTAAAAAAGATGCCAATTTCAAAATAGGGTCCAGAATAAACAAGATAGACATTCGTGGCACTAAAATAACATATGCTCTGTTCATTAGTCACATTTCTAGGCCCCTCTTATATTATTATTGCTTTCTATTTTGATTTTTTATTCATACAAAAAAATACAAAATTTATTGTTATGCAGACGACTGCATTATTGTAAAAATGGTATAAATAATATCAGTGCACTAGTGAAAGAATATTAGACTCCCCAGTTGACGTGTATTGGACATGTGGTGTGATTTATTTACTCTTGAACATTGGTAAAAATCGAACATTTCCGCTACTTTGAGCTCAGTTTCAAGGTCGTTTTCATCGTAAAAGTAATGAAAATCATCTCTATTTCTGTAATATGCTTTCCATTTTATCACCTAAGACCATGAAAACGCGAATACAACGATAAATACTATACGAAAATACACCTCAAAGTCGGCGTTTTATTCCAAAAAAACGA